TGATCTTTCCAGGTTTTAAAGGAGTAAATCAGCAGCAGATAAAAACGTTCCATTCGGACTTTCCTGAAAGCAACACCTCGGGAAAGGTTCAATTGAAACTTTTGAGATTAAACTTTTAATTCAGAATACTGTCAGGAGGCTTGTTTATCCTGCAACATTTGTTTAGCATCTGGCCCACACTTAGGACCAAACAGACTGATATATGGCATGCTTTATTACCCAAATATTTAACACTTTCTTGCCTTTCTCAGTATAGTACAGGAGTTTCTGTTATGTCCAATAAATGTATTGGGGAATACAACACAATATAAGACTTTATTGCCAGTTATTCACTTGTACAGAGGCTAACACCTGTGTGTATTCTCAAAGTTAGAATTTTTTTAATTTGGCATATATTGCAAACAAAGACGTATATCTATGTTTTTTTAAATGCATTTTTGTAGACACTATAGATTTGTTGGTTTAGGATATGTATGCAATGGTTCACTTTCTATTTAAATTTTTTCAATATAGAAGCATCCAGGTTTCAGAAAACCTGAATTTTGGATGCTACGGTTTGTTTTAAAGGAACAAAACTGTAGGGGGTTTGTTTTGACACCAAGTGTACGGGGGTCTGCAGGGACAAACTTTGAGACAAATCACAGACAACAGAGGTGTTCACGTTTTATTGTCTCTAAAGGTTTTCTTCCACTGTGGCAGGTGACAGTTTATTTTCCACGGACAAACTAGCAGCATTTGGTTCTTGGTGGGTGGCACTGTTGATGACAGTGCCATGCTACAACTGGATGCAGCGATGATGCTTAAACTGTTCATATCTGACTTTACAATGATGTTGGTTCCTGTTCTTTCAGCTCCGCCCGGCCCAACAGCACTGTAAAGCAGATGGAAAAAGTAGCTGTCACGCAGGGGCCTATAGCTTTTCGTCTGCATCTGTTCCAGGGTCTTGCTCGGGAGACGGCCAGCTGTGGAGGCCGTGTGAGAAGTTGAAAGGGAAACTTCAGCTGCCCTGCGAATCTCACACCATTACTCAGGATGAATCAAAAGAGGAACACTTTGGTCGAACAAAAGGAAAGCGAGAGAGGAAGCGAGAGTGAACGAAAAAGTGAAACCAGCTGTCTGGAAGTGCCTCATCTTTACAACGGCGCAGCGGCGCACACTCATAACCACATTCAAGTTTGGCCACAATCAAATGCTCAATTTGCCTTTACAGGAATATAAGAGATGTTCCGCCAAGGTCGATTCTTTTAGGGGAGGGGGGTTGGAGTTAGGCTGCCCTCTTGTATTTGTGCCTTTAAAATATATATTAGGGTGTAGCTAGTGCAGACAACAAAGGCCCCCCTCTAATTCTTTCCTTTCCCGAGGGGTTAGAGAACACACTACGCTCACATCAAGCCTCCAGATTTACCCCCACCATGCTGTACAGGTGCAACTTTAAAAGAGCTCTCATTGAAGGCGGGCTGGACGCCTGCAGTTAAAAAATCCCTTTTCCGTCTCTCCCCTCATGTTTTTTTCCACATCTTTTCCCAGCACTCTTTTTTCTCATGCGATCATGCTAAGGTCAGGGATTTTTGCATCTGATGCCAGGGCACTTTGACTCTGACTTTTGCACTCTGTACTAATGACGCTGTTGCAGGTCATGATGATGATTGAAGAATTAAGCTCTCTGTATGCAGGAGCTCTAACCGTAGGAGAGAGATTTTCTTTAAATCATAGAACGCAGAAAACATGATTAATCAAAGTATACAGTGTGGTTTTAGGCCAACATGAAATTATTTTAGACATGCACAAAAAGACGTCAATCAAACCCTGACTCTGGACTGCTTCTATCAATTACATTAAACAAGGAGACAGTAAAAAGCATTGATCAGAGAATAAATATTTTATAAACTTTTGGACATCAGGCTTCAGGAAGCATCATAACCCTGCATGGAGGCTTTCAAGAGTGCAGGTTTCTACTAAAAATGTGAAATGTCAACAAGAATCCTCACACACAAGCAGACCCACTGTCATGGAGTTGAGTTGAGAGCAGAGAGACAGAATGACAAAGACAGAGACAGAGGGGCAGACAGAGAACATTTTGCCTCACAAAAGGCTTTTCATGAATGAACTTCAGGCACAGATGAAGACTCTGGAGAGCTCCAACTCTAAACAGAGACGCAAATTACCGCCCGTCTTGTGTTTTCCAGCATCCCCTATACCATGTACATGGTATTCTTTGGACTTTGTGACGGTCTGTGTGCTATCTGTGATCCAAGTCGCAGATAACAAAGTTGTCAGGATGCCATTAAAATGGCAATAAATGGAATTGTAACTGGTCATGCTAAAGGTTGCTGCTCTTTCCGACTCTGTACCAGACGAGTTGATCTAGTATTGACCTAAATTGGTCTATAAAAAAGATAATGGTATCTTGCATCCTCAGGAAGAACACCCCATAAACACTGTAAGAGTTTACAGCCCCTAAAAGTGAATAACAAACCCACAGAGGTCATGGATTGAGCTGTATTGTTGAGCTTGGCTTTCAAATCTGTGATTATTGGAATTTTTTTTGTCCGACAGGATGACTTCCTGAGGAAGCAATTGTTCCAATATGTGTTTGTGATTTTTAAAATGTACTAGCCCATGTTTATTAGAGGCTTTTTGATTTAAACCATCCACTTGGGTGCCTGAACTGAATTTTTATGGCACCATGGACGAGTGCATATTTCCTATTTCAAAATTACTTTTTAGATATTTTAAGAACAGTGTAGAGCTACCAGAAAAAGGCAGAATTCATGGGAAAAAACATGAATTTGGATAACTTTATTTACAGTAAATGGACTGACTAAACTGTGGACATGAAGAATGCAATTATTACCAAGACCATCAAATAAAGAAGACAAAAAAACTGAAGAATAAAACTAGAGAGAGTAAATAGAGTAATTTCTCCTATTCTTCTAATTCTAACCTCATGCTGAATTTAATAATTTTGCAATTCGTCATTTTCCAGACTGGAAGCACAGTGAGAAAGGAAAGAAAACTTGAATGTTAATGAGACAGGCTAATCAACGGTCAGCTATTATTCAAGCAAAGGTCACGCTCCCTGCAGAGGAAGTGCACCGCTATCATCAATCTGGTCACAAGGGCCCGCATGAGAAAGGAGCTGGAGGTCGTGGGCGGGGTTGAAAGTTTAGTGCACTGTAGGTGCCACACAGTACATTCAATACCTTCACACCCCGCCACCACCACTATCTACATGTCAATGGACCCTACTTGTTGACTTGGTATGTTCCACTTCCACAGAGGCCTATTGTAGCTTCGTTGTCATTTATCATTTTCTTCTTTGTCATCCTCACTTTTTCCTTCCCTTCCTCAGTTTTGACCAACTTGGCTGTCTGATTCAGTCGGGAGGGAGGGAGAGGACTGGGAGATGGGGGTGTGAAGGGGTGGAGGGGTGGGGGACGGGGACGGGGGGGGTGTAAGACACATTGAGTTTGCCAAGTCAGGCAGAACGATCGACAGGAAGCCAGGCAGGAAGGAAGACGAGACTCTCCCCATGAAGTGCCATTGTTTATGTGACGTGACTTGAAGCAGCCAAAAGTGACTGGTGGTGGGCTCCTCTGCTGCTCTGACCCACTTCTCAGGGTGGCACAAAACACTCAGCCTGCAGATGGAAAATACAAATGAGGAGCACAGTGTTTTTCTTTTCAATTAGTGCAACACAAACTTTGGTTCAATCATCATGAGTCTGAATATAGGAGTTATTTCCAACCATATGTATTTCCAGTCCACAGTTGTACTAGACTAAACAATTCTGACCAAACTATAAAGTTCATACTTATTGTTTCACACACATATATAAAGTATACCATTTACCATTTACCATTTACATGTTGATTTTTAGGATTTTACATTGGTTGACCTTAACAATATGTGCATATCTTAACCTTGCACACCTTGGGTATCTGAACCATATATATTTGCTATTCATGATTCCCAAACCTTAACCTTAAGTGTTTTGAGTTGCCTAAACATAACCATAAACATCTTTAATATCACTTTACTTACCAGACTGAGATATGTTTTGCACATATATTCATTACACATTTCATCATTATGTTGATAATAAACCTTGCAGAATTAAATTTCCTACAAATGACTTCAGAATACTCCCACAAAATGTATTTTTGCCAGTGCCGGTGTGTTTTCCCTGTTAAATAAACCAATAAGTACATTTTTCCAGTCATCCTGCAGAAGCAGGCATACAAAAAAAAACAATAAAGCATCACAAAAGTTTAACAAGTCCCGCCCCTTTGCATCTCCTACCAAATCAAACAGCTTTTCATTCCCTAAGTGATATCCCAACTCTCAGGAATACTGGAACTTATGAGACACTTTACAGTATACAAAAACATGTAGGTACTGGTGAATTACAAAGCAGGAGCCTAAAGGAAGAGACAGTCATCACCTGTCTGAGAATAGGACATACAGGATTAAATCTTACACTCCATATCATAAAAAGCACCCTAGTGGGCGAATGCATTCATTGTAATAAGCCAGAAGCCTCAAACGTGTATTAATAGACTGCTCAAGAAGGGAATTAATATCAGCATTAGATAAGGGACACAATATTACATTGGAGAAACTACTTGGAAAGAAATCATGAAAAACTTTTAATTACATTTTTGAAGAATAACATGAATAATTGAGTTATTTTGTATATTGTTTTCTTTCTTTCTTTCTTTTTTCTTGCCAATCTACAGCTACACACTCCAGTCCAGAAGGTGGCGGTAATGCACCTATAAGCCGGTTTGCCAACTGCCATTAAAACTCGAAGAAGAAAAAAGTGACATCTCATTGATCCCTCATTTTAGTATGCCCTGCCCCCAACATCCTGTTTAATCAGGAAATATAATCACATTCAGGAAGTAAGATTCTTCCAAAACTGGCACTTCACTGGAATTCAAAATGCCATTAAACATTTTTATACCACGTGTAAGTAACATGAAGTCACTGCAAGTCCACTTGTTTCCTGCAGAGCCGAGCGGTGACGGACGTGATTAAGTTCATGAGAGCTCAACAAGCTTCTCCACTGTGGTTTGTATCCATCAACAGCCAACCTGATTTGGGGGCTTCATTTTCCCCAGAGATGTGTTTGTAGTTTCACCTGCTGATGGATTTGAAAATGGACAAGAAATTGATTCCAGACTTTTAAAGCTTCCAAGTTCTTTACAACTTTCAACAATCCCAGAGTTCACCTGTGCAATCACAAGTACGCTCTGAATTCATTTAAAGATAATGTGTGAGGGTTTGGATTGAATTAATTTTTTAGTGAATGCTACTGAGTTTGTTGTCTTGCTGTTCATTAGAATGACTGTTTGGCTTTTGTTTGTATGGCTGTTTATTGGTTATTTGTTTACTGGGGGATCTGTTGACATGGTAAGAACTTGAAGGTAACACGGTTGCCTAATCTTCTAACTTTGTACCTGTTTTCCAAAACAAACAACAGAAAAAAGACTCCACCGTCTGTCTGTTCTGACTGTCTTTCCTCTGCAGGCTTGGGGAGGGTGAGACAGTTCACCTGGACTCTATGGGGAGAAAGATGAACTCTTCTGGTCTACCATCTGCTCACCAGTCCACCTTTGGAACGCTCCCCTGGTCCCGTCAAGCTCTTGGCCTCATCCTCCCCGACTGAAGATCAGCCAGATAACATTACCTCCTGACCAATCAGGCGCCTGGATCCATACCTCATCCCACAGGTAGGCTTTCCAACAGACAGGCCAGTAGAAAGAGCGTTGCTTTCATTGAGAGCCAACCAATGGGAGCACAGAGATGTGATCCACCGCTAAAACGGGGCCAACCTGTGTTTTGTGGTGTTGTTGAGGTAATGTGGAGTGGGGATAACATGTTGCTGTTCAGAGTGCATGTAGCTCCTGAGTTTAGTTTTCAGCTGTGGCTGTTCCTTTAGTGTAGACTTTGCAGTTGAAGCTGGTTCTTGTATCTGCTTATTTCAAAGTACTCCGTTTATAAGTGGTATTGAAGCTGGTAATGTCAGTGATCTCAGACTTCTGCCAAGTTGGGAATGGATTAGAGGTTTAGAGGATCTATTCACCAAAATAATAATCATTTTCTATTTCTTTGTTAGAAAGAAGTTCCAATTAAACTGTTGACAGCAATGTTTGTGGATTATAGGCTAACCTGGCACTGTTCCTGGAAAGACAAGTTGCTGTTGAATTATTATCATATGACCACAAACGGTATCCCATTCATTCCCATTGTACCTTATACCTCATAAATGAACTGATGAAACCAAAAACTATAGATCCCACATTTGTTTTCGGGGTTTTTTTTGTGCTCAAAGGAACATTTCATTCTGTGTGTAGTTGCAAACATGTTAATTTCAGCCTGTCTGGAGTCTCCGGTAGGAGCAGTTTAGTGTGTTTTATCTTTACAGTTTTAGAAACGCTCACTTTCCTGCGCTTGTCTGAACTTTCTTTTACTTCTTGTATTGTCCAGCCCGGTGCACCCTCTCCATCTGGCACCAAGGCAGTATATAACACATCATAAAAGTCTTTGCTAATATTATTTGACCCAGGTCAGTCTTGCGAAACACTAACCCTTGCAGTTTGCTGTTAAATATTGGACTCTACTCTTTGGAACTGTAGTGAGAGCCCCCCCTTTTGTGCCTTCACCACCTCCACCACCTTTCCTTGCCTTTCCTCCTCCTCCTCTCTCCCTCCTGTGTCCAGTAGGGACCAAACAGACGGCCTGTGTTTGTTTCCCCTCTGGTCTTTCCTGATTGCGCGACCAGGCAAATTCCGGTCGGCTCTAATCTAGCCGTTGGACAGCCACCGAATTAACGAGAAAACCCATTTGACACACATGCTTCCACTTTTGTGTTTGTTGCCTCCCCCCTGAAGTCTGCTTAATTCATACAATTTTGCCTTCATTAGGCTGCATTTCAGGCTGCAGGGTACAGGTAATGCAAAGCATTTCCCCCTTCAAATTGTCGGCCGAGCCTTGGTTGCTAGGAAGTGGAAGAGTCTCAATTGCAGCCATTTCCTCGCCAGTGCACCGAGAGGTCCTATTACAGCGTTTAGGTCAGGGCAATTGGTGTCATTACAGGCAGCCAACTTCCCTCCACCAAAGTAATGAATTAGCCCGGGCTATTTGGGCTGTATGATTGCAGTTGCCAGGGGAGATGAGTATGAAGTGGGGGGATAATTATGGTATGTATCCTTGAGCGGATGTGTGCCGTGTGGGCCAGCCACGGGGGCGGTTTCCACACTTGTGTAATGGCTTAATGTAGCTGCTGACAGGCAGCCGGGCAACATGGAAAGGTGCTACTGTGCTCTACTTGTGGACTGTGACTGACATGCCAAACCATGCCAACCTGTTTTAACCCCGCGGCTCATTTACTTCAAATGACTCAGTCCAACGTCCAAGAGTCATTTCTGCTAAGAAATGTTCACCAGGGATGAATGAAGCTGATTGAATATAATTGTTTACAGAACCTTTTTAAGATAATTTGTATGGTAATAGAGTGTAACTTTATATTATCAGTTGGCTATAAATTGCGCTCAAACTTCATTAAGAGCTCCAGTTCTTTACAAGCTGTTGAGACAGGCAAGGAAACCATTAACTCTTGGAACACTGAGAAATTACCCCCATAATAAAACAATAGTGAACTTTGATTGCATGGCCCATTCATAAAAAGCAGTGGAAACAATAACCAGGAGGCGCTACTTCATTTACACCAGTGACTTCTGGAGGGGGGAGCCCTGTAATAAAAGTATCAATGATAAATATGCGGTTTATGTGTGGTGAAGTTTCATGTGATGCTTTAAAAAAATTAAACAAATACAACCTGGAATAAACCAGCTTAATTTGTTAAAGAAAACCAGCAGACCAAAAGCCGCTGCAGCTCAGAGCTGAATTGCGAGTGCCATGCTCGGTGGTGGTTGCAGGGCGGTGTTGGGTGGGTGGTTGGGGGGTGAGGGGCGAGGGGGCGAGGGGGAGGTTGGTTGTTTTCTCAATGGGAAGTCGAGCGCTGCAATAGGAACCCTGCCAAAAAAAGAGTTCACCAAACAAAGAGGCCGGTAGGAAATAATGCTGGTCGAGGCTTGTTGGGCCATCTATGGGCTTCTTTCCAAGCTGCTGTAACCAGCTATAAGTCTTTTATGGGGACACCCTGAACAGGGGGCCCCACCAAGGACAGGAACTTTTACATTTCTGCTTGAATGGGACCTCTGCCAGGGGCTGAGTTCAAAGTGCACTTTCCAGTCATTTCATTTAACTACTTTGTGTATTTGATAGGGCCGGCAGTGAAGCACATGGACCTGAAGTAATATTCCCTGAATTTCGGTCTTTTTTTTTTTTTTAAAGAGTCCAGTCTGAGGGGAAAACGGGACAAAACCTCGTAAACTGTGGGACTCTGTCTCTTTGTATGTGTGCACACACACGCACACATGAACATTTAATTTCTGGCTGTCAAGCCCTCCCTCTGCTTTTCCTCTCCATCCTGCAGATCATATCTCATGTCAGTGAGAGCAGAAGGAAAGCGCAGCCTGATTATTTCTCAATACAAACACCATGTGTCTGCTGCATCCATATGTCTGTCGTTGTGTCTCTTACTGCAGCTGCTTTTTACTTCACTTTTCATGAAATTTTCTTCCTTTTGGCAAAAAAATGTTTTTGCATGATTACAATTCCATATAATTAGTGTTTATCAAACATTTATGTAGTTTCCGCAATCTGATTCTTTCACATGAGCTCGTGTTTTACAAAGACATGTCGTTTTGTTTTGGTTATGATCTCTGCTATCTACAGTTTGTCCATACGCTCAACAATTTCACCTCTGTGGTTAGAGAGTGAGTTTGCACAGAAGTCCAACTTTATCCACAAAAACCCTTTGAAACCAAACCATTTTTCTCTTTTTTTTACACAGCCTTCTCAAATCACAAGCCCACCATGGTTTTGATCAACAGATGAAAGAAATTTGGTCGACTTAAAAAAAAGAGTTGCAGCTTCATGCTGCGGCATAGTTGCTGTAGTTTTCCTCTGTAGAACGGACCATTTGCTAAGCAGTTGCATATCTTGCCAGTGATCAGCACTAAGCCAAACTTTAATCCTATCTCTGCTGGTAAGCCACTGTTGGTGGTATTCTGCCAAATGGTACCAAAAGCAGGGGAATCTGCACGACGCCCCCTGGTGGTCCATGACTGGTTTGAAGCTGTGTATAAAATGACAGTCGTTCACTACACAAACCAAGTGTGAATCTTTATTTAAAACGCAGTTTTTGCTGAGAAAAAGACATCTATGGCACTCCATAATATGTTTAAAACAACTTTATTTACTCTTCCTCTTGTTTATTTGAATGTTTTGGGTCACCAAAACTGTAGTGCTCATCACATGACAAACCCAAAAGCTTAACAGCTGTGTCATTGCTTTCATTATTGAATTAGAATAAGAATATTTTTTGTACATGTGTCACTGAGGTAATTATTGAATGTCTCTGTAATCTTTTTATATTATAAAAGGACAAAATGTCTTCAATGTAAAAGTATCTGATTACCTCCTGTCCTCAGTAGAGTTCTCATGCTAAAATAAGTTTATTTCAAAACATGACAGGAACTATATTATAAAGACTTAATGTACACAAAAACTGACTAAAATCAGTTAATTTGAAGGATTAGATTAGTAAGAGTTAACATCTAGTGATAGGTACGCTATGAATAAAGTAGTTTCAAGCAAAGAATGGTGAAAATGTATACATTCTGACTTTTTGTCCCTAGTATGGAGAATGTCCAAATTCTGCAACTCGGTTTTGTGGTTTCACATTTTAATCAGTTGATTACTACTGAACAAAGTTGCCTTTCATTTTTTTCCCCTTATTTGTTAAAAAATTGACATGGAGATGCAGTGTCTTCATACAGCACAAATATGATTCTGTCACTGATATGATACAGATACTGTCCAAACAGTGAACAGCTCATGGATAGACTGAAATATCTGATTACATGATGGAAAAAAAAGAAGAATTTGAACTGCTGCTTCAGATGGTACGTCCAACTAATTCTTGCCTTTTGTTTTGATCTATGTACAGCACCAGATGGAGGGAGTATTTCCACATTGGCAAACACAGAGAGTACCTGCAACTTTCTGCCAATCTGAACATCAAAGCATTGTACTCTCCTGGGGTTGACAGCGTATTTGGAACAATTCAAGTTATCATGATGCAATAAGAACCGCCCATCCGGTGATTAAAAACCAACCAAATTATTAGTTTCAAGCCCGACTTTGTGTCTTCTTGAACCGTGGCCCTGTGCTGGATGGTGTGCTGCAAGGATGAAGTCATACTTCTCACAGTGTGTGAGAGAGAGTTTCACTTCCTACCTTTGGAAGAGAAAGAGGTTAGCCTGACAGCTTGATGGATGGTCTTTTTTTGTACATGCTGCTTGCGGAATACGATGATTTCATGTGGTTGTGAGACCGCGGTGTTCTTGTTGCTTTGGAGCGCTGCAGCAATTAGCACAGTCACCCATTACATTCACTGTATGATAGGGCTGCAGTGTGTCTAAGTGGGTGTGTACATTTGAAATGAGAGTTTTGGTATGTGTGTATTTGTCGATGTGAATGTCAAACCTCACGGGACATAATTTAAAAACCACACTTGTAGTTTCATAAGACTACTTTGGCAAATGTTTGCAATGACAAGTGAAATACGTGTTTAAGCTTTGCCAGTAAACAGTTCAGAGCT